ATAAAATGACTCTTCGAAATCAAATCGATGAAATTGATTAGCACAATATTAATAAAGAAATATTTTTTTAAATGCAAATTTGCATGTTTCAAGTCAAGTATGAATTATTCAAAAATCAAAAATAAAGTATTTGATTTGTATAGGATTTGATTGATCCCCTAACCTAGAATATCTGCGTCCGCCACCTCTTTCTCCAAAGATCATTCCTATGAATAAACTTCATTGTCAGTATAGCTGTATGGAGAGAGAGGGATAATGATGAATCTTGTTGACTTGTAATGAGTCTTGTTTGAACCTTGCTCTTCTTTGGCGAATATCATCGACCTGGAAAATGTAATGAAAAAAGTTTGAAATATAAATTTGACAATGCGTAAAAATTATGAATATTTTAATGTAATTAAAATGTAATCTAGTTATTAAAAAACATAGTTATATTGCCACCACAATTTTTACGTGATACACCCCATTTTAATTGAATTTAAGTTCCCCGATCTTTGCTAATTGTAACAATTATTCTCTTAATTATTTTCGTCGAATTTTTATTTTCAACCGTCTATTAATTAGTACATCTCGTCCTTAAAAATGATTTATATCAAAATATTTTATTTCCGTTTTTCATACTTTGAAATGAGGTAAAAATATTTTTCGTAATTTTAATTTATTTAATTTTTAAAAATATGATTAAAAAATAAGTATTTTTTTTACATCATTTTAAGGAAATTTTGGACCTAAAATGATTATCAAATACAACATTTGTAAATTAATGAAAAAATTGAGGATACAAGTCACATGAAAAATTATTGGAAACATAAGTAATATAATGAAAATTTTAAGAACTTTAAGCCAAATTAAAATTCAAGAAATAAAGATTGTGGTGTTTCCTTTTTGGGAAATTACGAAAAATCAGGTGTTTAAAAAATGAATTTTAAAATCAGATCTACAATTTATTTATTCAAAAATCAGGTAATTCACATCTCTTCTCCCTCCTTCCCCTTCTCTCCCTCGTCTCTCTCTACAAGTTCATCGCCCTCGAATCTTCATTGTCTTCTCCTCCTGCACCTCTCACTTTTCCCGTTGGTGCACCTGTCGCTAATCCTCCATCTATCGCCTCCTCACCCGGTATCGCTGCTCCTAACTCCTCACCCAACGCCGCTGCTTTGAATAGAGTATCGATTGCTGGATCTGCTGCTACAGTGTTCTTCTTTACCGCATTTTTGCTCTAGATCTACTGATCTAGTTCGAAATATTCACGTTTCCGGCGAGCATGAAGATTATGATTTTGTTATTGTTCGATCTGTTGTTGGTGTGTGGTTGTGTGTTTGCGGATCTGTTATTGGTGGTGTTGATAGTTATCCGACGACAGTGGTGGAGTTTAATGTGGTTGGATGCGACGGTGGTGGTGGTGTGTTGTGTGGTTGGAAGCGGCGG